ATCTTCTTCCCCATCGCCATCAGACTGCTGAACTGTTAAGAAAACTCTGAAAGAAGTCACCGACTATGAATCACTCTGACAACCCCGAATCAAAACACTGCATAATTGCACCATATATATTTATTGCTCTGAACTTCAATATCAATGCGGTTTTTTTGCACAATGTTTTTTCTGCCACACTGTTTACATTTGATCACCGCTGCACTTTAAGAAGTGGAAATGTTGTGAAAGCTGTATAAAAAGAAATTTTGTTTTTTATACAATCTATGTTTACAAAATGACAATAAAAGTTGTCTAAGTCTATATGTAAATATAAGTATTTTTAAGAACATTTTTGTCTTCATGTTCATTTGCTTCACACCATCAGGACTTAATGCTAAATTATCTAGAACCTGTTCTAAGGAGGAAAGCTAAAACAATCCAGAGTATGGAGTAATTAAGATGGGAAACAGAGAATAGGAAAGTAAGGGAGACAGAAGAGGGTAGAGTGTGGTATTAGTCATGTCTTCTAATAGGAAATATAAATGTATTAATAGATACAGAAAACCTTGGATGGTGGCCCATCTAAAATGACCTTTCTCCAGGCTGGCCTTGGTTCTACCATAACCAATGTAAACCATGGAGTTCAATTAACTCTCAGTGGGAGCTTTATCTGAATGTGTTTTGGCCAAATGAGATGGGAGATTTTATTTAGGGAAACAACCACAATGAAGATGTTTGGTGTGAAGTTAAAGAAAGAATATGTAGTGTTATTAACTTTATGAAACACTAGGAAATTGAAGGTAAAGATTTATTCGCCTCTGTCAGAAATCTCAGAATAGATCATTTGGAGCTTTCAGTTGACTGATGATCGAACAGAGATGACCTAAATAATACAAACTCTTCACCAGACACAAACACACACAAACCTTCAAAATGAAGGCTAAGTGATGCCTGACTGCAAAATGGATTTATAGAAGTATTAACAGTAGGGACCATGAGCAGCTAGGGGAATAGTAACTGGTTACATTTACTCAAATTAATTTATTTATAAAAAAAAAAAAAAAAAAATATTAACAGTAGGGACCATGAGCAGCTAGGGGAATAGTAACTGGTTACATTTACTCAAATTAATTTATTTATAAAAAAAAAAAAAAAAAAAGTTAACTTTCAGAAGTACTTGTACCTTACTATACTTTTGTACTTCACTTAAGCCACATTTTACACAGTATTGGTACTCTAACTTGAGTAAAATTACTGGCTACCCTACCTGGGAAATTTACATTAAACAGTAAATATTATAACCAAAAGTCTTTATGCATTACCTAAAGTGAAGATTGGTTTATAAGTTTATATTAAAAAACAATTATTTCAAAGTGTTTTGCCTGCTTAAGTAAGTTATTTTATAATCATGTAATTAATTTTTATTTACAAAAAATAACTCTTTTTAGATTTTAATTTTAAATCAAATGCTGGATGCCAACAATTATAGTATTTGAGTTGTTTTTACTAAGTGCTTTTTTACACTTGATTAATTTCTTGGATGACTACTTTCTACTTTTGAGTAAAAAAAAAACACACACAGACACAGACACAAAAACTTTTACTTGGGTATATTTTTGGGGTTTCTATGAGCTATGATCTTGACATGATGTCTATGTAGTTTTTCCACTGAACACATTTTAATGAGTTCTAACTTTTATCACAATTATAAAAAAACAAAATTGCAAAGTTATATAAAAAAAAGATTAATTATATGTAGAAAAATGATGACATAAATGTAGGTGTTCAGTATGAAAATTAGATAAATTATGTATAACTGTGAACTCCTTCTATACCAAAGATCATATTGACAACACTTTGCTGCCATCTAATGGTCAATTATGCAACAAGCATCAGTAGTACATCTACACCTTAGCTAGGTGGTGGTTTGGGGTGATTTAATCACAGTAGTCTACAGGCTATCTATATAATTATATTACCAATAGTGAAATTAACTGTGGAGGTTTTTAATGTGCTTAATAAACAGATTATAACTGTAACCTTTATTTTTCATCTACACCATTTTGTAATGTAAAGAGTAGAAGATATTAGAAGAATTGAAATCTTTATATATTTTATCTTCTATGGCAGCATCTTAAAGGATTATAGACTGATTTTATTTTGTAAAAAAAAAATCAGAAGATAACAGACATAACTATTCATCTTAATGTTTATTTAAGAAACGATTTGAAAATACTTTTTGGATGACAAAATCAAACCATTTCATTTTTACTTTCTCAACGTGCAAGGCAGCAATTCATCCAAGTAAGGAATCATTAATAGACTCCCATTCATTCTCACAGTCCACCACCGTTCAGGTAATCTAAAATGGAGAATGCTCTGTGTGGCTCCAGACAGCTCAGATGAATCTGAGGACCAGCCTCTTGGTGAGCGTGTATTTGGGCTCCGGCATCTGTCGACTGGGTGGGGTGTAATTTTTGCTGACCTCTCTGTTCACACGCGTTAACACAGTGTGTATGTCGTCATTGTTAGGGCTGTGAAGGTAAACAGAAAACGAAAGTTAAACATCCATCTTTATTTACTAAGCAGTTAACTAAACGGCAGAGACTGAAGAAGACTGTTTGTAGGTTCCCTTAAAGCCTGGAAACTTATAAAATTTGATTTTTTAAAAGCAGGCAACCTTTCAAGAGTTCCACGGCAGCTCTGAACAGTTTTCTCAGAGGTCATGTTCCACAGTAAGCTGAGTAAACAGAGTAATCCACACCTGGAAGCAGGTGTTCTGCTAAGTTTGACCAAACCAGCTGAAACTACCTGTGGAAATTACTCTTTTCCAAACTAGATTCAGGGTCAACAAACTGCAGGCCCATTTATCGTTAACCACCTTTCCATAAGCCCTCTGTTTGCATCAGTAAACCAGCAGAGCAGTAGGCCCATAAAAACGGATTCCAGAAGCGAATTAAATGCCTTTTAAAGCAGTTATTTAAAAAAATTACCAACATGTATCCAACTATACAAACATCTGTTAGCTGTTTTAGCATTTACCTGAAAGCAGATGCATTCTGTAGTATTGGAGACACTTTTGTTGTTTACATCTTAGCAATGATCTAGACCAGGGGTCTATTGTTTTTATAAAGAATATTTGAATTGAATTTTCACAACAGAGTGACATGTAAAGAACAAAGAAATATGTTTTTAGAACTATTTTTCTTTTAATTAACTTAGAAATTATGTTTTATGATTATTTTAAAAGCTAAAAATACAAATAAATTGTTTGTTGTTTTAGATTTTCCCCCCAAAAAAGTTAATAACAAATCACTGCACTTTGTTTTCCAATTTTGAAGACGTTTCGCTTCCTATTCAGAAAGCTTTCTCAATTCAAAATGTCTGGAGTAGTGTTGAGTTCCAGGCTTTTGTGGACTAGCCCAACAAAAGCCTTGTTATGGCTTAGAAAACATGCAATTTAAACCCAAAACTGGCCCATGACTCTGTAATGGGGTAATGCAATTAGGATTGTTATTGGCCTGGCTTAACAGGTACAATGTTTGCCCACCTGCATGGCGATGAGGATTGAGATGATTGCGAGAACGAATCAGCTCTAACGTGGTATTATAGGTTTTCGGGAGCTGAAACCTGAGACCTCCCCCTCTGTTTAAATTAGTTTTTTCTCTCTTAACTTAAATGGCTTCCTTCACACCCCTTTCAAACCACCTGTCTTCTTTGTCCAAAATGTGAAAATTCGAGCGTCCTTTGTCCTAAAGCCTTTGTCCTTAGCTTTAACAAGGCTTTTGGGAAACAATGTGTCCAGTGGTTTGTTTTTAACTTTTTTTTTTGAATGACTATGACCTGGATTACTGACAATCTTCACCAGCATGTTGATTTAGATGCAACAAAATTCCTATCACAGATATTTTAATGAAAAGTTGCAGACCCCTGATCTAGACCCAACGGAAAATGACCCGAAACTGGTATCTAGAATTTACGGCAGGATATACAGGATACACAATAAATTCCTCACCTTTCAGCTGCTTTTTTCAGCTGCTTGCACAGCTCTTGGATGTACAAAGAGCCATTGCGCGTGTGCCGGTAACACTTGTGGTTAGGCACTGTGGCCATGCCCAGCAACATATCTGCACCTGAAGCCACTGTATTCTCAGGAGCACAATCCGCCTCTATGGACAACCTGGATGTCATCTTAGGGAGCTCTCCTGGTTTGGTGCACTGACAGACCGGTTCCTGTCCCTTCACACCCTGACACGCTTGAATGAAGAAGAGTTTGGGCTTCCCCAATAAGGTGGGGGCTTTCATGTTACTGAACGGCTCAGTCAGCTGCTCCAGCTTCACTTCCTTCTCATCAGTACCGTAGACAAAGCCATTTCCTCCGTGGGAAAGCACACATAACACCTAAAAAGCAGATTGGAGGAGAAAAAAAAACATATCAAAGTTGTATTACGTCTTGGTTTTACTCCATGTTATATAACTTTAAGCTCAACAGTAAGCAGCTATGTTTGAAAAAATGAATGTTTAAAGTAACTATCCCAGTGTATTACCTAATTAATAAAAAAAACAAAAAAAAAAACACTGTACTTTGTTAAACGTTTTAAGACATTTTACTTCACATCCAGAAAGCTTTCTCATTTCAAAATGTGTGGCAAAATGTTGAGCTCCAGGCTTTTATAACATGCAATTTGGTTCAGATTGCATGTTTTCAACGCCATAACAAGGTTTTTATTGGGCTACTCTATTAAAGCCTCGAGCTTAAGGCTTCTCCAGACATTTTGAATTGAGAAAGTCTTCTGGATTGGAAGCGAAATGTCTTCAAACTTTGAAAACAAAGTCCAGTTGTTTTTTGTTTTTATATTTCATGGAATGGCTATGACCTGGATCACTGAGAATCTTCATCAGCACATTATCTACTGAAGTTGTTAAAAACAAAACAAAAAAACACTGTCTTTAAAGGCTTCTTCATCAGGTACACATATTACAGACCAATCATAAAGCAGGAAGACTTAACGCTGGAGTTCAAAACAAAGATCAAAATTGGAAAGATAATTGAATGAACCTGAATTGTTGGACGATTGACTGTATCAGAAAATGTCTAAAACTGTGTAAAAAAATTATACACTTAATATTGATTCCCAGTACAATGTTCCATATATGAAAGTAATTTTCAATAACTAATTATTTCCATTTTAAATTTGGAAGATGGTTTATCGACAGAATCGCTGGTTAAATAAGTATAAAAATAAATGTAGAATAAATAACCCAAATATATCAATGTAGTGATATTTTAAATGCATTATTTGAATGTGCAAATTATCCAGAGATATAAATTTAACAATAGTAAAAATTCCCAAATATTTGTTTTTGGGTTTTGATATCATGCCTCATTAGCCTTGTATTTAAATATACTGTTATAATGTGTATTTTTACCTGGTTTGTCCATTTCTAAGTGCATAAACCTTCTGTTGGTTAGTTGCTGCACAAAAATGCACCAGATAAAAAATCTCTGGTTTTCTCAGGCACTGCGTTTAGTTTAGCCCTCCAATTATGTCCCCAGACCTCAATCCATCACAGACCTATTGAGATTTGGTAACGTCACACCAACAGATTTGCTGCAGTTCTGTCATACCATCTAATCAATAGGGACCAAAAGCTCTCAGGAAAGTCTATTAAAGCAGCTGGTGAATACACTGCAAAAAAATCTAAATCTAGATAAGTCATTTTTTTTTTTTTTATTGAGGAGGTAAACGAGACATTTTGCCAATGGAACAAGACAATTTACACTTAAAATAAGAAACCAC